AACGTGTGTGGGGGTTTAAACGAATAAATCGGCCCTCAAAATCGTTTTTTGGGTTTTTTAAGTGGGAAAGTGCAGTTTCGCCACAATCATATGCGATGCAAACACATTTAAATTTGGCAAGGAAAGGTCTACCATTCCCTCATTTTTCCCCATAAGTGCGTTTTTGGAAAAAGGGCCCGGGAAGTTAGGGGCAAGTACATCCGGATCCATTCCCTTTTTTGCGGTTGTGGGGTTAGTTTTTTCAAAACCTCTTGATTGCCAGGAACTGGGCCCATGGTCCGTGTCCCAAGGTTTCACCTTTGCCCTCCTTTTTTTGTGTCAAATTCTACAAGGAAATTTGCCCATGGATTTCTCCTCTACGGAAGGAGCCGCATAACGTGCCTTTCACCTCCTGGCTAGAGTCGAGCTTTCCACTTGCCATCATCCAGTGCCCTCATGTATTCTTTTTATATTAAAACATTTTCATTCTACACCCCTTACAGGTTTCCCTAACAGGGAAACTGCCATTGTACTCCCTTTTTTGCACCAGGCACTTGGGGGCTTGATACCTCTCACTATCGTCCCATTGTCTGACCAGTGCAGTCTGCAAAGAAATTGAACGATTGGGAATAGTTTTTGGGGGAAACTCGAAATAGTATTTCTCCCCCCAAAGGCTTTTGCAAGGGCCACTCTACTTTGGACCCCTTTGTCCACTTAGATACTAGGGCAAATGCCTTATTTAACAAACACTGTCCTAGAAGTCTTTTTCGATCTTGAGAAGCATGTGAACACTTGGAGGATAACATTTTAACCCACTCACCTTTGCCTCCAGGGTAATCTCCCCCCTTCCCTTACTGCTTCCTTATCTACAGCTTTTTTCGTTCCGGGTTTGGGCGCCTCATTTTCCTCAATTTTTTTGTTCAGGCCGAGGGTGCCCCCAAAGGTTGTATCCTTATCACACCATTTTTCGGGGTTTGACGATTCGCTCTACTTACCGGGCCCGGACTTTCGTCTAGTAGCGGCCTCCCTTCAGGAAGTTTGACCGGGTTTCCTATTGGCCATACCTGGATTTAAAATTTTTTTCTAGAAAAAAGATTATTTCATTACTTCACAAAGACGCCCTCTTGCCCCAAAATTTTCCATTGTATTTACACGGCCATGTATTCTGGAATGTGATACTTTTTCAAGTTTGTTGGCTTTCTCTTCGACTGACAGGGAAAACCCTTATTTCCTCTTTAAACGCTGCCTGCCAGTGTGGGCTGAATCTCCTGAAAATTTCTTGCACACGTTCATGGGGTGCAGATCCCCGGGGACCTCTTTTTGATTTCTACCTATCATTCCAATTTTGTTTTTGGGAACCAAATCTTTTGCAGCTTCTCCTACCATTCCTAATTAGACCCCTTCATCTCAAGGTCTACGTTTATCCCTTGGGCCTTTCGTTCATCCACGTTGAAACCCTTTATGTGAAAGAATGTCCTTGCTGATCATTGTGATGCCACTGCCTTCACTTTTTTGTCCGCTCTCTTCCCTTTCCTGTTCCGTCTATGTGTAGGTTGGTCTCAAATAGAAAAGCCCCTTATTTGTTCGACGTTTCCCGTTTCCCCCGTTTTCTCTTAGTCTTCACTCGTAGGTCTTCCTTCCACTTACCCCCCAAAATTGTTTTTGCATCTCCCTTTTTTTTTCCCCCTTGGGGGGGGTTCCGACGTTCATTTTGTTCCCCCTATGCAGTGCGTAAAGCTCTCTTCCTATAACTGCTTCTACTCTTTTTTTCTTGACACTTTTCGACCCGCACGTATGCCTTTGCTGCTTATAAGATGGTTTTAAATCTTCTGAGGGGGTTGGGTCAGGCATGTCCATAACAAATTGCACTCTATTAAACCTTTTTTGGGTTTGTGGCCTTTTCTTACCACCCTTGTTTTCTCGCGAGACGCTCTCTCCCCCCGCTTGGCCCTTCCCGCCTTGCCTGGGTACCTCTGGAACGGCACCCTATCCTCTCTGGAAGTTTGTCGAGTCCCCCATTTGGTTCTTTACTTTCTTGAAATTGCCCCCGGGTTTTCCAGCGAATCGTAGGGGTTTTCCCCAACGCCACCGCCGCCCCTTTTACTCTTACTTTATCTTCCCTTTTTGCAGACGGTCCGCCTTTTACTTACATCACTTTTTTATTTTTTTCAGCAACTGCTTATGTACACTTTGATACCAGCCCCTTTGTGCCCTTTCAGCCTTTGCTACCCTCCCTGATCCCCTCCCCCTAGCTTTTTATAGCCTGGGCCCCTGTTTTCGCCCCGCAAACTGTGTGACCCTTGTCGGTTTTTTTCTTTTTATGATAATAATAATAATAATAATAATAATAATAATAAAAATAATAATAAAAATAATAATAATAATACCAAAATCCCCAGAAAATTTTTCAAAATTTTTTGTTCCGAAGGGGAAGGGGAAAAAAATTTTGGCTTTTGTTTAATATTTTGTTAATTCTTTTAAGTTTTGTAAATTTACTAAGTGTAAAAAGAGGATCAGTTTTTCTCCGTGGGAAAAAACCATTACCTATAGCTTGGCAATACGAATTATGACTATGAAGAGGAAGAAATTTTCCATGACTATGAACTCAAAGAATTTTATCATTTGATTTTGCATCATAGTTCAGTTTAAATCAATATTAAGTGAACTTTAAAAAAAAACAAAAAAACCCTTAAGTGAACCTTTATTTTAGTAACAAGAAAAATAGTAAAAAAATGGAGTAATAATTTCTCCCCTTAAGAGATGTGTCTACTGACTTCATAATTGACAGTCATTTTTAAAGGAAATTAAGTAGCCAATTTTGTTTAGAAATTAACAATAAGCTAAAGTGATTTTTTTTACTGACGTTTGTTTATAATTAAAAAACTTCAATGGCACTTAACAATTATTTTTTATAGTAATTCATAAAATTCCGCAAAAAAAAACATTTTAAATCAACTGCGATAAGAGAAGATTTTCGGCTCCTGTTTGAAACTGAAAGCAAAAAAGTAAATAAATGAAATAAGACATGGGGTGCAAAGAAGGGGGGGGGGGGGAAGGGGGGGTGGGCCCTGGGATTCAAAGAGGGGGGGATCCAAATTTGAGAGGGAAAATTAAAATATGATTTGGGGCATACAATCAAGGAGTTTGCCCCCGGGCATCACCAAACCCTTGCACGCCATGAACGGAGTTTGTCTAAACCCTCACCTGAATGACTTTCCTGAGTGTGGTGCCAAGTACCGCTTCCATAAGAGAAGACAACCCCCTATTAGGTTGCGGGGGCATGTAATGTTTTTTCCCTCAGTTATAAATTCACATTTTGTTGCTAATAAAATCAGATTTTTTTCTTTGTTCAGTCATCTTTTGATTTATGTCAGCTAAGAAAAATAATTTTCGTTCCTTTGAACTTATCGGGTACGATACCCCCAAATTTGGGTGAAACTCCACAACAGGGGTTTTTAAAAATTTGTTCTTAGTATCTTGGGGTGTTCTTGTAACAATAAACTTGCTCTTATCCATCTTAACTAAATTTAACAGAACCTTATATCCCTTTAAAGAAACCTTTAAACAGCATACCATTAAGGGGTTTAGGCCTTATTTAAAAATTGAAGAAGCCTTTCATAAACATTAAATTTAAAAATAATAGTATTATAAGAGTTTTTGGGGTTTTGGGGCAATATAGGTCGTTTTCTTAATTAAGGGGAGAAATTTTCTAGAACCAAAGGGGGGAAAAACTGTTTTTTTTTGGTTCAGCGGCCCTTGTGGTGAGAAGCTCGTGAGCTCTGGCTGCTTGTGACGATGACACCAACACTTCCTCTCAACCAGTACAGTACGCGTCTGGCACTGCAGCAGAAGCAGCTGTAGAGAACTTGTGGAGAAAAGACTGAGATAACCGGACTCCAAGTGTCTTATTTATCAACTTGTCAGTTTTTTAAACAATTTATCCAAACTGTGTCAGACAGACTCACGAAATCGTAATGACACGAATTGTAAACAAACCATACCACGGGCGGGAATAGAACCCGCGATCAGTCTGGAGTTTTATGACTGATCGCGGGTTCTATCCCCACCCGTGGTATCGTCTGTCAGACAAAACAATATCTTGGAATCTAGACGAAGGGAATTCTTCTAAGCTTGCCTGACCTACAGGACCGACCTACTTCCAATATTGTGTTTCTCTACTGGTGATTCCGCCAACCTCTGCTCCATCTCATATATACACTAATGTAACACACTATTATCAAAACTAATGAATTAAACACATCTACTCAAGGATGAGGAACTAGTTACCTCACTCCTCATCTTTCACCGTTTCTCTACATTGGACTGAGTAACTCACTGGCTGGTGAAAAGTTTGCAGACTATAGCAGAGTGTTGCACTTGAAAAAAGTCAGTTGTGCCGGCCGGACGATGTCTTAAGTAAAATGGTTGCTGGTGTCTCTTTATAAAAAATTTTTTTGATAACTGAACACTTGGGCAGCATTTGGGAATCTTTATTCTGGAAACTTGTCACCAGCCAGTGACTTCTTCAGTACAATACCGAGAAGAACAGTGGAGGATGAGGTGTTTGAGGTACTCAGTCCCTTAGCCTGGAGTCCGTTAATCTTGTGTTTATTGTCTGTGTTACCATGGCAACACAGTGTTATTATGACAGCCACATTATTACAGAAATAACAACGTTGTTACTATGACAACGATGGCTTCAAACAGCGTCTATTCATCACAACGACTACCTCGACGTTATCATAGTAACTCCATAACGGCGTTATTATGACAGCGACGTTGTTATTAATGTAACGATAGCGTTACCATGACAACGACATCATTACATTGTTAACAATAATTGTACAATGCCTATGAAGGTGTTACCATAACAACGACTCTATTCCCACAGCAATGACAACGTTACCATGGTAACGAAGGGCGTTACAATGACAACCCCACAGCGTTGCTATGACAACGACGGTGTTACTATAACAACACAACAGCTCCTGGAGAGAGTCAAACATCCAGTGTTGTTCCAGTGTTGTTCCAGTGATACAGTAATTCCCACACTATTATTCCAGAATGTGCTGGAAATTATTAACAAGTGTGTGAGTAAAAAAATTAGGAAGCAAAAAGCTACAGAGGGATTAAAAGAGAGAGAAAGAGCCTCTTGAGGGGACACAAGAGCGAATAATATTGACAAATACGAAGACAAACAGAGAGAACTGATACCAACAGATGGGAAACAACAGTAATCGGTGGTCAGCAGGGCACAAGTAATTGTGATGAAGACAATTAAAAGGAAGCGAAGAAACTAATAGATTAAGCAAGAGCTTGAATAACAACTATTAGAGCGACCATTAGTGTGAACTGAGACCAGGAGCTGAACCATAAGAGTGGGACCAGAGTGGGACCATAAGAGAGGAACCATAAGATTGGGACGATAAGAGTGGGACCATAAGAGTGGGACCATAAGAGTGGGACCATAATAGTGGGACCATAAGAGTGGGACCATAAGAGTGGGACCATAAGAGTGGGATCATAAGAGTGGGATCATAAGAGTTGGGACTATAACAGTGACCAAAGGAGCAAGCAACCACCAGGGTGAACACAATTCAGCAGACTGACCACAGAAGTGAGCACAAATCAGCAGATAACACCCACAATAGCAAACAGAAAGGAAGACAAGACCCACAGGATGGACGCAGCTGGACTTTTAATGTTGGAAAACCCAATCAAGATAAATTCTGATGGAGAGGAAATGGACCAAGCCATTGATGAGTCGGTAAGATGTTTTATTAAATGCTTAGACGAATTCCTGACTGTGAGTAGCCTCTGCATTATACCAGGGTAGCATTTGCTAGAAGCCTCTGCATTATACCAGGGTAGCATTTGCTAGAAGCCTCTGCATTATAACAGGGTAGCTTTTTGCTAGAAGCCTCTGCTTATAGCGGGGTTAGCATTTGCTAGAAGCCTCTGCATTAGAGCGGGGCCCAGCTTTTTGCTAGAAGCCTCTGCATTATAGCAGGGTAGCATTTGCTAGAAGCCTCTGCATTATAGCAGGGTAGCATTTGCTAGAAGCCTCTGCATTATAGCAGGGTAGCATTTGCTAGTAGCCTCTGCATTATAGCAGGGTAGCATTTGCTAGTAGCCTCTGCATTATAGCAGGGTAGCATTTGCTAGTAGCCTCTGCATTATAGCAGGGTAGCATTTGCTAGTAGCCTCTGCATTATAGCAGGGTAGCATTTGCTAGTAGCCTCTGCATTATAGCACGGTAGCATTTGCTAGTAGCCTCTGCATTATAGCAGGGTAGCATTTGTTAGTAGCCTCTGCATTATAGCAGGGTAGCATTTGCTAGTAGCCTCTGCATTATAGTAGGGTAGCATTTGCTAGTAGCCTCTGCATTATAGCAGGGTAGCATTTGCTAGTAGCCTCTGCATTATAGCAGGGTAGCATTTGCTAGTAGCCTCTGCATTATAGCAGGGTAGCATTTGCTAGTACCTGCTTACAGCAGGGTAGCATTTGCTAGTAGCCTCTGCATTATAGCAGGGTAGCATTTCTAGTAGCTTCTGCATTACAGCAGGGTAGCATTTGCTAGTAGCCTCTGCATTATAGAAGGGTAGCATTTGCTAGTAACCTCTGCATTATAGCAGGGTAGCATTTGCTAGTAGCCTCTGCATTATAGCAGGGTAGCATTTGCTAGTAGCCTCTGCATTATAGCAGGGTAGCATTTGCTAGTAGCCTCTGCATTATAGCAGAGTAGCATTTGCTAGTAGCCTCTGCATTATAGCACGGTAGCATTTGCTAGTAGCCTCTGCATTATAGCAGGTAGCATTTGCTAGAAAGCCCTTTTGCATTAAAGCAGGGTAGCATTTGCTAGTAGCCTCTGCATTATAGCAGGATAGCATTTGCTAGTAGTCTCTGCATTATAGCAGGGTAGCATTTGTTAGTAGTCTCTGCATTATAGCAGGGTAGCATTTGCTAATAGCCTTTGCATTACAGCAGGGTAGCATTTGCTATTAGTCTCTGCATTATATCAGGGTAGCATTTGCTAGTACCCTCTGCATTATAGTAGGGAAGCATTTGCTAGTAGTCTCTGCATTATATCAGGGTAGCATTTGCTAGTACCCTCTGCATTAAAGCAGGGTAGCATTTGCTAATAGCCTTTGCATTATAGCTGGGTAGCATTTGTTAGTAGTCTCTGCATTATAGCAGGGTAGCATTTGCTAGTAGCCTTTGAATTACAGTAGGGTAGCATTTGCTAGTAGTCTCTGCTTTACACAAGGGTAGCATTTGCTAGTAGGATTTGCTTTACACCAGGGTAGCATTTGCTAGTAGGATCTGCTTTACACCAGGGTAGCATTTGCTAGTAGGATCTGCTTTACACCAGGGTAGCATTTGCTAGTAGGATCTGCTTTACACCAGGGTAGCATTTGCTAGTTGGATCTGCTTTACACCAGGGTAGCATTTGCTAGTAGCCTCTGTGTTACAAAAAACGCGATTCTAAAAGCTTAGAGATCTCCAGTGAATACTAGAAAGGACTGCCCTTCTAGCATCCAGCCTGTTACTGGGTTTTCGTAACAAGTAGTCAGTATCCTTGTCCAGTTATCCATTAGAATTCAGTATGAATCAATAGTGCTTCAGGATTACAACTGGTAGGCTACTAACTAGAGAAATTAAAATTTAATAAATTTATTAATAATTAAGTTGTCTAGGCGTATATCAAATTAAATTAAATCAATATCAACAAAATAAGAATAATCACTTTTCTCGTGTACAGTAATATTGTGCTGATAGCACATATCACATTTATGTATTAAGTACCGTCTGGTACATTATTATTTAATAATTCAATATACAAATAATTATGTGTATGTGTGTAAGTGCTCTAAGTAGTTCGCTATGTTTCACGACTCGACTAGACTTAAACAAGTGACTGACAAAGTCCTCAAATAAACTAACTTCTTGACCAACTGGCAGTCAGAACAGTCTGCTTGAACAATAAAAAGAATGCTAAGCCCAATAGCAATATAACAAGCAACTGCGACACAATCAGGAACAAGGAGATAATATAACGACACTAAGTAGGGACCATCAGTAGATCCTCCACAAAAGTCACAAAACTCCCATACTACTGAATCTAAGTTCAGCATAAGAAAATCCCCGACTGTGATAATACACAGATACCAGTACAAGTTAGGTCAGAAGCTACAGCTCAGGACCTGAGTTGCTCAGAGTGTCTTTGCGACACACAACCTCTATACAAAGCCGAAAATCACTAAGTCTATACTATGTTCTGTGAACGGAGTCCCACAGAACCTACAACAATAATGAGACAAGAGACGATCTTCCAACAAGGGCCAATAAGGGAGATTTAGGCTCCTCTTGCCTAGAATACGTCCAACCACCGAGCAAGTCTAGACCAGACTGAATACTTCAGGCAAGGTGAGAACACCCGCCCCCCCTCGATCACGTGATAGCTCCGTGGACAGTTGCTGCCCAGCAACAACGAGAAGCCGGCAGGGAAACGAGCAAAGAGCGATAATTACAGTAGTTAGATAATGAAGACTTGAACTATGAACACATAATATGTTGCATCCTACCTAACAAAAGTAACTAAGTCAAATAATAATATAAAGCAATATATTTACGATTTAGCTATTATCGCAAATTTAAGCAATATAAAATTACATGAAAAGGTAATATACATTATATACATATACATAATATACATCACATACATTGTGACCCATTCAGGGGTTGCAACACTCTGCTTTACACCAGGGTAGCATTTACTAGTAGGATCTGCTTTACACCAGTGTAGCATTTGCTAGTAGTCTCTGGTTTACACAAGGGTAGCATTTGCTAGTAGGATCTGCTTTACACCAGTGTAGCATTTGCTAGTAGGATCTGCTTTACAACAGTGTAGCATTTGCTAGTAGGATCTGCTTTACACCAGGGTAGCATTTGCTAGTAGGATCTGCTTTACACCAGGGTAGCATTTGCTAGTAGGATCTGCTTTACAAACCCGGGTAGCATTTGCTAGTAGGATCTGCTTTTTCACCAGGGTAGCATTTGCTAGTAGGGTCTGGTTTACACCTGGGTAGCATTTGCTAGTAGGATCTGCTTTACACAAAGGGGACATTTGATAGTAGGATCTGCTTTTACACCAGGGTAGCATTTGCTAGTAAGATCTGCTTTACACAAGGGTAGCATTTGCTAGTAGGATCTGCTTTACACCAGGGTAGCATTTGCTAGTAGGATCTGCGTTAAATCAGGGTAAGCATTTTTCTAGTAGCCTCTTTCATTACACAGGGTAGCATTGCTAGTAGAATCTGCATTACACCAGGGTAGCATTTGCAGTAGGGTCTGCGTTACAAACCCGGGTAGCATTTGCTAGTAGCCTCTGCTTTACACCAGAGTAGCATTTTCTAGTAGGGTCTGCGTTAAAACCAGGGTAGCATTTGCTAGTAGGATCTGCTTTACACCAGTGCAGTATTTCCTAGTAGCATCTGCTATACACTATGGTAGTATTTGCTAGTAGGATCTGCTTCACACCAGGGTAGTATTTGCTAGTAGGATCTGTTTTACACCATGGTATTATTTGCTAGTGGGATCTGCTTTACACCAGTATAGTATTTCCTAGTAGGATCTGCTTTACTCTATGGTAGTATTTGCTAGTAGGATCTGCTTCACACCAGGGTAGTATTTCCAAGAATGATCTGCTTTACACCATGGGAGTATTTGCTAGTAGGATCTGCTTTACTCTATGGTAGTATTTGCTAGTAGGATCTGCTTCACACCAGGGTAGTAATTTTCCAAGAATGATCTGCTTTTTCTCCATGGGAGATTTGCTAGTAGGATCTGCTTTACACTATGGTAGCATTTGCTAGTAGGATCTGCATTACACTATGGTAGCATTCGCTAGTAGGATCTGCTTTATACTATGGTAGCATTTGCTAGTAGGACTGCTTTAAAACCATGGTAGTATTTGCTAGTAGGATCTTTCCACTAGGGTAGGATTTGCTAGTAGGATCTGCTTTGCACCAGGGCAGGATTTGCTAGTAGGATCTGATTTACACCATGGAAGTATTTGCTAGTAGGATCTGCTTTACACCAAGGTAGCATTTGCTAGTAGGATCTACTTTACACTATGGTAGTATTTGCTAGTAGGATCTGCTTAACACGAGGGTAGCATTTGCTAGGAGACTCGGCTTTACACCAGGGTAGTATTTGCTATTAGACTCGGCTTTACACCAGGGTAGTATTTGCTAGTAGACTCGGCTTTACACCAGGGTAGCATTTGCTATTAGCCCTGGCTTTACACCAGGGTAGTATTTGCTTGTAGGATCTGCTTTACACCAGAGGAGCATTTGCTAGTAGACTCGGCTTTACACCAGGGTAGTATTTGCTAGTAGACTCGGCTTTACACAAAGGTAGTATTTGCTAATAGGATCTGCTTTACTCCAGGGTAGCATTTGCTATTAGCCCCGGCTTTACACCAGGGTAGCATATTTATTAGGATCTGCTTTACTCCAGGGTAGCATTTGCTAGTAGCCTCGGCTTCACACCAGCGTAACATTTTGTAGTTTCGGCTTTACACCAGGGTAACATTTCCTAGTAGCCTCGGCTTTACACCAGGGTAACATATGCTAGTAGCCTCGGCTTTACACCAGCATAACATTTTGTAGCAGTTTCGGCTCTACACCAGGGTAGCATTTGCTAGTAGCGTCGGTGTTGCAACCCCTGAATGGGTAGCAATGTATATTATTTATATATAATACATGTATATTACCTTTTCATATAATTTTATATTACTTATATTTGCGATAATAGCTAAATCGTAAATGTATTGCTTTATATTATTATTTGACTTAGCTTCCTTTTGTTAGGTAGGATGTAACATATGTGCTCAGTTCAAATCTTGATTGTCTAACTACTGTAATTATCGCTCTTTGCTTGTTACTCTGCCGGCTTCTGTTGCTGGGTGACAGCTGTCCACGGAGCTATCACGTGATCGATGGGGGGGTGTCCTCACCTCGCCTGAAGTATTCAGTCTGGTCTAGACTCGCTGGGTGGTTGGACGTATTCCAGACAAGAAGTGGCTTCATCTCCCTTATTGGCTCTTGTTGGAAGATCGTCTCTTGTCTCATTATTGTTATTTCTGGAGACTGTTCACAGAACAATGTATAGACTTAGTGATTTTCGACGTTGTACTGAGGTTGTGTGTCACATAGACACTCTGAGCAACTCTGGTCCTGAGCTGTAGCTTCTGACCAGGCTTTACACCAGGGTAACATTTGCTAGTAGCCTCGGCTTTACACCAGGGTAACATTTGCTAGTAGCCTCTGCTTTACACCAGGGTAACATTTGCTAGTAGCCTCTGCTTTTTCACCAAGGGGAACATTTGCTAGTAGCCCTCTGCTTTACACCAGGTAACATTTGCTGTAGCCTCGGCTTTACACCAGGGTAACATTTTTTAGTAGCCTCTGCTTTACACAAGGGTAACATTTGCTGTAGCCTCGGCTTTACACCAGGGGAACATTTTCAGTAGTCTCTGCTTTACACCAGGGTAACATTTGCTAGTAGCCTCTGCTTTACACCAGGGTAACATTTGCTAGTAGCCTCTGCTTTACACCAGGGTAACATTTGCTAGTAGCCTCTGCTTTACACCAGGGTAACAGTTGCTAGTAGCCTCTGCTTTACACCAGGGTAACATTTGCTAGTAGCCTCTGCTTTACACCAGGGTAACACTTGCTAGTAGCCTCGGCTTTACACCAGGGAAACATTTGCTAGTAGCCTCGGCTTTACACCAGGGTAACATTTGCTAGTAGCCTCGGCTTTACACCAGGGTAACATTTGCTAGTAGCCTCTGCTTTACACCAGGGTAACATTTGCTAGTAGCCTCGGCTTTACACCAGGGTAACATTTGCTAGTAGCCATGGCTTTACACCAGGGCAACATTTGCTAGTAGCATCGGCTTTTACACCAGGGTAACATTTGCTAGTAGCCTTCGGCTTTACACCAGGGCAACATTTGCTATAGTAGCCTCGGCTTACACCAGGGTAACATTTGCTAGTAGCCTTGCTTTACACCAGGGTAACATTTGCTAGTAGCCTCGGCTTTACACAGGGGAACATTTGCTAGTAGCCTCGGCTTTACACCCGGGTAAGATTTGCTAGTAGCCTCGGCTTTACACCAGGGCAACATTTGCTAGTAGCCTCGGCTTTACACCAGGGTAAGATTTGCTAGTAGCCTCGGCTTTCACTAGGGTAACATTTGCTAGTAGCCTCGGCTTTAAAACCAGGGAAACATTTGCTAGTAGCCTCGCTTTACACCAGGGTAACATTTGCTAGTAGCCATGGCTTTAAAACCAGGGCAACATTTGCTAGAAACCTCGGCTTTACACCAGGGTAACATTTGCTAGTAGCCTCGGCTTTACACCAGGGTAACATTTGCTAGTAGCCTCTGCTTTACACCAGGGTAACATTTGCTAGTAGCCTCGGCTTTACACCAGGGCAACATTTACTAGTAGTCTCGGCTTTACACCAGGGTTTAAAATTTGCTAGTAGCCTCGGCTTTTCACAGGGCAACATTTGCTAGTAGCTCGGCTTTACACCCGGGTAAGATTTGCTAGTAGCCTCGGCTTTAAAACCAGGGTAACATTTGCTAGTAGCCTCGGCTTTACACCAGGGCAACATTTGCTAGTAGCCTCGCTTCACACCAGTGTGGCATGCAAAAAGTACGTAACCTTTATTCGGCGCATGTACACACCCTCATTTACAGGCTATTTTCCCCCCAAACCCGCGAACCAGGTTGCTAATTGTTGATGATGGGGCCCCTCGTTCAACTAGTGACCAGGTTCTAGCCAATAAGAAATGGTTTTGGCAATCGCAGAGGTTATGTGGGTACCACCTCCTGTCTGCCCTTGTCATTCCCATTCTAGAGCTGGTTGAAAGCACGGCTTTCTTGTGGCTTCTATTCTGCCTTGCTTTCCGTGGAGTGCACTATACTTATCAAATGTACTAGTGTACAATATGCTGTTCTAAATTTGTGAAGGATAATATAAGTCAAAACTTTTCTGCTGTTTTAAATTTTTCTCCCTTTACACCCAGGATAACAGGCCATTTGGACTCCTGGGTTGTAATAACCAGCGTAACATTTTGTAGTAGCTTCGGCTTTACACCAGGGGTAACTTTTGCTAGTAGTTTCGGCTTTACAACAGAAAACCTTTTCTGGGTGCAATGGAGGATGACAAAGTTGATCCCCTGTATCAGAAATCTTCCCTATGAGGATAGACTGAGGACCCTGAAACTGCACTCTCTAGAAAGGCGCAGAATTAGGCGGGGATTTTGATGAGTGTATAAATGGTAAACAGGAATAAAGGGATGTAAATAACGTGCTGAAAATATCTATCATAGACAGGACTCGCAGCAGTGTCTTTAAGTTGGGAAAAAATTTAGATTCAGGAAGGATATAGGAAAGCACTGGTTTGGTAATAGAGTTGTGGATGGTTTGGGAAAAAACTCCCCAGAACAGTTATTCAGGCTAAGACTCGTGTAGTTTTAAAAAATAGGTTAGATAAATACATGAGTGGGTGTGGGGTTGGACTTGACTAGCTTGTGCTACTAGGGCATGTGCCGTGCACCTTCCTTAAGTGAATGTGACCTAACATGACTAGGTTGGGAGCTGGCTTAAGCCGGTAGGAGAAATTGGACCTGCCTCGCAGGGCCAGCAGGCCTGCTACAGTGTTCCTTCTTATGTTCTTCTCAGTATGGACAGAATATTCAGCACATAAACAATAATACATAATAATATAGAGGTTTAAAATATTACATTTTTTGATCAAGTTAAACAACATATTTAACACATGAACATATTTTTAAAAAAATATTATATTTAACACATTATAATGAAAACTTAGCAGAAAATAAACATTATAAAACATATTAAGTATGTTATAATACATAATACATTATGATACACTCTGTATGAAATATATTAAATTTATTTTACACATTGTAAACATATCTGGCAATATTAAGACATATATTTTTTCTGAACAGATAGAAGAATGTGAGGAAGACTTGGACGTTATACACAGTGCACTGGACCTGGAACCTGGAGATGAAGGTGAGTAGTGGTGGTGGTGGTGGTAGTGGTGGTGGTGGTGGTGGTGGTGGAGGTGGCGGTGCTGGTGGTGTTGGTAGTGGTGGTGGAGGTGGTGGTAGTGGTAGTGGTGGTGGTGGGGGTGGTGGTATTGGAGGTAGTGGTGGTGGTGGTGGTGGTGGTGGGGGTGGTGGTGACAGTAGTGGTAGGTACCACTACTATCACCACTACCACCACCACCACTATCACCACTACCACCACCACCACTACCACCACCACCACCACTATCACCATTAGAATTCAGTATGAATTATTAGTGCTTCAGGATTACAACTGGTAGGCTACTAACTGGAGAAATTAAAATTTAATAAATTTATTAATCATGTCTAGAGGTATATTATCAAATTAAATTAAATTAAATTAATCACAGTAATCAAAATAATATTAATCACTTCTCTCATTTACAGTATTGCTGATAGCACGTTACAAAAAACGCGATTCTAAAAGCTTAGAGATCTCCAGTGAATACTAGAAAGGACTGCCCTTCTAGCATCCAGCCTGTTACTGGGTTTTCGTAACAAGTAGTCAGTATCCTTGTTCAATTATCCATTAAAATTCAGTATTATTCAATAGTGCTTCAGGATTACAACTGGTAGGCTACTAACTAGAGAAATTAAAATTTAATAAATTTATTAAGTCTAGAGGTATATTATCAAATTAAATTAATCACAGCAATCAAAATAAAATCAATCTCTCGAGTTCAATATTATTGTGCTGAAAGCACATATCACATTTATAATTCTTAAGTACCGTCTGGTACATTAACATTTAATAAGATATTACAAATATGTACAAGTAAGTGTGTATGTGCGTAAGTGCTCTTAAGTAGTTCGCTATGTCTCAAGACTCGAATAAGACTTAAACAAGTGACCGACAAAGTCCTCAAATAAACTAACTTCTTGACCGACTGGCAACCCGAACAGTCTGCTTGAACAACAAAGAATGCTAAGCCCAATAGCAATGCAATATGCGACTGCGACACAGAATCAGGAACTGGGAGATAATATAACGACACTAAGTAGGGACCATCAGCAGATCCTCCACAAAAGTTACAAAACTCCCATACTACTGAATCTAAGTTCAGCATAGGAAAAACCCGACTGTGACAATACACAGAAACCAGTACAAAATTAGGTCAGAAGCTACAGCTAAGGACCTGAGATGCTCAGAGTGTCTATGTGACTCACAACCTCATTACAACGTCAAAAATCACGAAGTCTATACAATGTTCTGTGAACAGAGTTCAACAGAACTAACAAGAATAATGAGACAGACAATCTGTCCAACCACCAAGCGAGTCTAGAGCAGACTGAATACTTCACGAGAGGTGAGGACACCCCCCTCGATCACGTGATAGCCCCGTGGACAGCACAGCTCAGAAGCCGGCAGTATAACGAGTGACAAGCGATAATTACAGTAGTTTGACAATCAAGACTTGAACTGAGCACATAATATGTACATCCTACCTCACAACATAAGCTACGTCAAATAACAATATAAGGCAATACATTTGCGATTTAGCTATTATCGCAAATATAAGCAATATAAAATTATATGAAAAGATAATATACATTATATATATACATAATAATCATTGTAACCCATTCAGGGGTTGCAACACCCCCCCCCCCCCCAACACGACAGAGGGTCGCACTAGGAGTTGCATTAATGTCTTTCACATTATTACTGATTACTCATATCAATACAATTTAATATAAATATTAATCAGTCTCTCTTGTGCCAAGCACCTCTACAATTTCACAGCGTCCGTCACTAGGATATGCCCCTAGTACTAGGGCAGTACACAGTATCGTATCTCTGCATACTCGTGGTTATGTACATCAGTGTAGAGACAGGATAGCGCTGACAAGGAGGGCACGTTGAGGCTCGATCATAGTAGAGGAGACTGCATTCCACTCTTAAGTAGTGGTTGTGGAATGCGAGGCAGTATGAACATCTGAGTATGAAACAGCTTAATTAAGGTGTGTAGTGAAGGGGGGGGGGTCTGCAGCAGGACAGTGTTGCGTCACGCAGTACCTCGCCCACACGACACTACCCACTCAACACTCAGCTTATGTCTCCTTACACACAATACTGTGAATATATAAATATAATAATTAGACATGAGTATATATAGTTAATATGGGCTGGAGGGATTAAGTTACTTTACTGAATTTGACATAGCAAGTAACAAAAGGTATTTGGGCATTAAAATTACGTTAATTTAATGTAACTGATAATTATTAAGGACGAGACAGAGCGTCAGCAATTACATTACAATGACCACTTATGTGTTTTATACTAATAGAATAAGGTTGGATTCTGAGGGCCCACCTCATGATCCTAGCATTTTTACTTTTCATAGTGTTTATGTAGGTGAGTGGATTGTGGTCTGAAAAAACGTTAATTTTAAATGGGGAAGTGCCCAAATACACGTCAAAATGTTCCAAGGACACCACAAGAGCTAGAGCCTCTTTCTCAATAGTGGCATAATTTTTCTGGTGTCGTTTAAGTTAGATGAATAGTAAATATAGGATGGAGAATATAGTGGATGTGACTGTTGGAGCAGCACAGCACCCTGCTTTAGCCACTCGCATCTATATGTAAAAAGAAGGGAAGATTGAATTAGGACTCTTCAACACAGGAGCAGAGGATAGCAAGCGCTTAAACCTTTTGAACGAGTCTGAACAATCTCTTGCCCAGGTGAACTGAGCTTTTGCTACTAGTAAGTTCAGTGAAAAGGAGCTGCAATCTGAGAAAAAGTTGGACGAACCTGCGATAATATCCTGCCATACCCAGGAATCTCTGTACTCCCTTCCCATCCTGTGGCACTGGAAATTCAGAAATTGCACGAACCTTAGCCTCAATAGGAACAAAACCCCACCTTGGCCGATACAAAAGCCTAGATAGGTAATCTTGGCTTGACCAAAACTACATTTAGCTAAGTTAACAGTGAGTTGTAGTGCGCCAGTCTCTCAAACCCAAAGCTCTGAGACGCGTCAAGTGCTGTTCCCACTCGTCACTGTACACCACTAAGTCGTCAAGGTAGGCTTTACTCCTTCTAAATTGTGGGTCAACTCGGTTCATTATACGTTGGATTGAAGAAGCCAGCGTTACATAGGCGAAGGGGGGGTGACGAAGGGTTGTTAACACAATCAGCTTGAACCGTAAAAAGCAGATATTTCTTGAGCTCGGTTCAGTAAGCGGGACTTGATAATAGCCTCGTAAGAGATCTACTTACGGCTGACAAAACTGGGGCCTCCTGACACCACGATCAATAAGGTCGTCAATGCGAGGTAGAGGATAACATCAGGCAGGTGACAGAGTTCACTTTCCTGTAATCAGTGCACATCTGAAAACTACAGTTCAGGTTTAGGCACTCAAATACAGGGAGTTGCCATGACTTTTCTGCCGCTCATAAGTCCGTGTGAAACAGAAAATCAAACCTCTTCTCTCAATGCTTTAATGCTTTGTAGGAGCATCCTATATGGTGATTGCTTAATGGGTGATGCTCCTGTACATCAAAACGTCATGTTACACCTAGAGTACAAACGTTTAGGACCATCACTGAACAAATCAGGGAAATGCAAATCATGTTTTTAATATCACCAGCTTTATCAATCCCAAGGTTTACTAAGAAAAATCGTCTAGTGACTGTAGAGTCACTGAATTTCTAAACGCCACTCTATACCTCTAGAAATGTCAGGTAGACTGACGTTTTTTTTTTTTTTCTTCCTGTCATAGGAAGAATAGATGTAGTAGTAGAGGACTAGCGTGTTGTCTTAAGCTGGTTAACATGGTACACATGATTAGATTTCTTTTCCCAGGGCGTACGTACAAATTAATTTAACGTGCTAAGCCTTTTTCCTACTTCCAGGGGGACCATCATACCTGGCTTGTAGAGCATGACCTGGTACTAATTTCCGCGCCATCAACCTTATCTCCTGCTTTAAAAGAGCGGAGGAGCAGCACGCTTGTCATAATGTTGTTCATTCTAGCTTGGGCTGAAACTAGGTTTTTCTTGCAGCTGTCAAATGTTGCTGGCATTAATGAAGGTGAAGTACTCAATGATGGATTTGATTTTTCCTGTCCACCACGTCTTTCAACACTGCGAGAGGACCACGCACTTGGTGTACGAATATTTATTCAAAGGATAACCCAACACTTTCTTGCTCACTTCTTCATAGAGAAACGAAGGAAAAGGTTATACCTCATCCCAGTCTCTAGAGAGAAAAATGTTCACACTAAGCTTTCTCATCAGGATTCAGTGTGTCTGATGAAATCTCTCTAGAGCACCTTGTGGACTGTGGATGATAATGGTTGAAAAGTTTAAGACTTTATTCCTAGTATGGGGATAATGTACTTCTCGAAAGATCTTAGAAGTGAATTAGGAATCCCCTTATCTGATGGTATCTCTCGTGGCAACCAACCTGCGGAGAAATATTTCATCAGCGCTCTCACAATAGCCGAGCATTAATTTTCGCATAGCGAATAGATTCGGGCTAGCGTGTTGCAGCGTCCATCCTCATAGTTAAATAAGCATTGGTTTCCTAGTTTGGTTCTAAGGCATTGGACCAACACAATCATAATAAGAGGTGAGAATGGTTCACCATGACACGGTGATAGGAATGAGAGGGCAAGGTGGAGGTCGTGTGCGTGCTGCTTGTCACTTGGCACATGTGGCAACGTCGCACATGATCAGCTACTGTTTCCTTTATCTTTGGCCAAGTAAAATGTTTTGCCGTTTACCGAGTGTCTTCTTTGACACCCATATGTCCTCCTATGGGATATGTGAGCAAAATCAATGGCGTGTTCACGAAATGTAACTCGGTAACACTACGGCTGCTTGACTGTGGTGAAACACTATCAGCTGACAACTTTACATGTATTTTTCGCATCAGTTACACATTACTATAATAGTAACAAATTATCGAGATCCTTTGCATTCACTCTCTTAAACTGCT